CCTCGCGCATCTCCGTCCCCCGGCCCGGGCTCCCTAGCGCGGCCCCCCGAGCTATGCCCGCTGGGCGCCCGCCAAACATTGTCGGCTGCGCCAAAGGGTCGCGGGTCCCCGCGCCTGCTCCGGCCAGGAGCCTTCACGTAAATGGGTCCAGTCATGCCTGCCAGTAAGAAGCCCGAAAGCTCAGGAATCAGTGCATCCAGGGGACTGAGTCAGTGTTACCGGGGCAGCGGTTTCTCCAAGGCCCTCCAGGAAGACGATGACCTCGACTTCCCTCTGCCTGACATCAGATTAGAAGAGGGGACCATGGAAGATGAAGAGCTGACCAACCTGAACTGGCTGCACGAGAGCAAGAATTTGCTGAAGAGTTTCCGGGAGTCGGTCCTCAGGAGTGTGAGCCCGGTCCAGGACCTGGACGATGACACCCCACCCTCTCCTGCCCACTCAGACATGCCCTACGATGCCAGGCAGAACCCTAACTGCAAGCCCCCCTACTCTTTTAGCTGCCTCATGTTTATGGCCATCGAGGAATCTCCAACGACGCGCCTGCCAGTGAAGAATATCTACACACTGGATCTTAGAACATTTCCCATATTTTGCGAATGCCCCTGCTGGGTGGAAAAACTCAGTGAGACGTAGTTTGTCATTGAATACGTGTTTTAAGAAAGTGGACAAAGAGAGAAGTCAGAGTATTGGGAAAGGGTCGTTGTGGTGCGTAGACCCAGAGTATAGACAAAATCTAATTCCGGCTTTGAAAAAGACACCTTACCACCCACCTCCCACTCCTCAGGCATATCAAAGCACATCAAGTCTACCCATCTGGTCGGGCAGTACCTTCTTCAAGAGAAACGGAGCCCTTCTGCAAGTTCCTCCAGGAGTGATACAAAATGGAGCGCGAGTTCTGAGCCGAGGGCTGTTTCCTGGCGTCCGCCCCTTGCCAATAACTCCCATTGGGATGACGGCAGCCATGAGGAACGGCATCACCAGTTGCCGGATGCGGACTGAGAGCGAGCCATCGTGTGGTCAGTGGAGACCCCAAGGAGGATCACAACTGCAGCGGTGCTAAGTCCTCCAATGCCCAGAGCACCTCGCCTGTCAGCGACTCCATTTCTTCCTCCTCCTCAGCCGACGACCACTATGAGTTTGCCACGGAGGGGAGACAGGAAGGCAGTGAAGGCAGTGAGGGAAGCTTCCAGAGCCAGGAGAGCCACAGCGAGACAGAGGAGGATGACAGGAAACCTAGCCAGAAGGAGGATGCCCTGGGGGACAGCGGCTGTGTTTCCCAGCACAAGAAGCGCCAGCACTTGGCCAAGACCAGGAAGGTCCCCAGTGACACGCTGCCCCTCAAAAAGAGAGGCACAGAAAAGCGACCCGAGAGCGACGATGAGGAGATGAAAGAGGCAGCCGGGTCACTGCTGCACTTGGCAGGGATTCGGTCCTGTTTGAACAATATCACCAATCCTACTGGCAAAGGGACAGAAAGAGCAAAAGGGAACCACAAAACATTGAAACAAGTCACTGATTTGTTTTGAACTAACGGCCATTTGGTCTCAGCATGTCAAGAGGTTTCTAATGATTAGTGGCAATATCAGCAATTTTTTCTTTTGTCTTTTGTTTTTTCCTTTCGTTGGTTTGGTTTTCTTTCTTTTCTTTCCTTTTTTTTTATTTGCCCCCCTCTCCTTTGTTTTTAGACCCTTAAGAATTTTATATTTAAAGGAGATTGAAGCCGTAGAACTCATATTGACACTCAGCCATTTTACAAAAGCTTTTCATTATCCGAAGACAAAAACCGACAAAAGCCAAAATTAACCATTGCTTCCTGCAGCCTGTCAGAAACCCGTGGCTGAATCCACAGGGATGTCAACGTTAATGCCACCGAATACACGTATGCCGCCTAGGAGGCACACATGCAGAGTTGTCACTGCTTAGGCCCAACCCTTAGGTTTAAAAGTCAGGATACCCTTGCAGTTGTATTCAGAGTGAAGCCAGGAAAGCCATCGGAGAGACTGAAGAGCCCTGGGTCCCCTAGAAGTAGCCCCATGCCATGGAACTGGCATCCCACTGCCAGGAACACCCATGGCATTGCCGTGTGGGGCTCAGCCACCAGTCCTCTGTGCTTGGTAACCTTGAACCTGGTAACATCTCACAAGTTGAACACTGGAGTATTCAGAAATGTCACCTGTTAGTGACTAAAGAGGGAAAACAGGATAAATTCTTAGAGCTGTTGCTAATCATTGACTTCTGTTATAAATTAAGAAAATGTTCCAAAAGCCATAAGCCTGTCGTGTTAGTGACTAAAGAGGGAAAAAAATATATAATTTTAGATGTGTTTCTTCTTATTTTCTTTTTTTTTATATAAAGAAAGAATTTCAAACCATACACCCGCGGGTGTGTCTCTCCACACACACACACACACACACACACACACACACACACACACACTACTGAGAGAAAGCACATACAGAAAATAAGCTGTGTCTTCTTAACTGCCAAAGTGAAACAATCATACCCAAGAAATGACAGTAGCTGTTAAGAAAGGAAAAAATGGTACAGATTCTTTTCTATCAAAACTGTCTGATCCATGTTGGGGGGAGAGGGGGAGCTACAGAAACTGCCATTAGTATTTTAGTGTATTTTTTAAAGATTAAGGGCGCATTGATGGACATGAAAAGCAAAACAGAGCAAACAATACAACTTCATACTGCCCTCAAAAAGGGTTTGTGATTAATGTCAGGACTCAATCTTTGCAAAAAATAAATAAATAAATAAATAAATCGGTGATTTCCACATTCAGCCAGTGTAGCCAGCAGAAATTTCTGACCCACAATGCATGGATTCCTTTGAAGAAAAAGGAAAAAAAAGAAAAAGAAAAAAAAATCACAAAAACAAACTTTTTTAAATTCAAAAATAACAAAGTTCTTGTAAGGTAAATAATAGCTACTAGAGAAAAGGCTATGCCTCTAATTTTTAAGCCCTTAGGCTTAGACCTTCTTTCTTTTCCTTTCTTTATCTTCCTTTTTTCTTTTTCTTTCATTGTTATTTTATTTTGATTTTTTTGAAGCAGGTGTTTAAGGTTTAACCTTCTTCAGGGACAAATTCTGACTGTTGGACAACTTACTCTGCAATATAAAAATATCTTCATGTTCTGGTAGGGCACTTGGATGGTTGAACTCTACACTGCCCTGTCTGCAGTCAGCCCCAACTCCCTCTGATTCTCTACTGAAGACTGTGTCCTTCTTTATCTGTATGTGTTTAACATGACACAATAATTTGAGGGCAAACTTAATAGTGTGTATGATAGAATCAAGAGAATTATGAGGCATTTACTTGAGAAAATCATTACCGTGATACGGTTCTAGGAAAAAGGCAGTGAATAATTATGCAAATTCACCAGAAGGAGAACCATGCTAATGGGCCTTATTGGGTGAGGGTAGGAGATAGGATCACCTGAAGGAGGAAGTGATAAGGGGGTTAGATGGGCCAGCCCCAGATATTCTAAGCTACTGTGCCATTTTGCAATCAGGAGGGGTTGGCCATCTCTGCCGCCCTCAGCACAGTAATTACCCTGACACTAAGACCGCCTCGATTGTGAGAGCTGAATTTAGACAACTGGACCATGTCACGCAGGCCAGAGACTCTGTTACCTTTGCCAAAAAAAAAAAAAAGATCTAAAGGGAAATCTCTAAAAAATCTCTAAAAGGATATAGCCTTCCATCCAAATGGAGGGAAGTTTTTAAAAACAAAAGCACCCGCTACCCTGGCTCAGGGTCTGATGGTTGGGAAAGGGAGGGTGATCTTGATCTTTTTAAACAGGAGGATGGTGGGCCTTTGAAGCTACACACACCTGTTAGGACCAGCTACCATGGCAACTGCCTCAGCCAGGACAGATAGGGGGATATCTGGTACATTCCCTCTACCTATTCTGAGAGCAGCTGGGGAAAGAACCTAGAAAAGTCTACACCTGCATGGCAGGTTAGATTTACCTGCACACCTGACCCTGAACCTGATCCCTTCCAGCATGTTGGTTCAGGGTTGGATGGGAGCACAGGTATGTTTTTCTGCAGTGCTCTGATCCCTCTTTCCCCACAAACATCTGACACCGGAAAAGCCATCCACAGCGATGGAACCTGAGCCACACCTTGATTTGTGTTGCCATGGAACCAAGTCCAAAAGACCATCCTCCCTACCCCCAAGATGACAGAACTCGGACTTCTCTCCTGAAGGCAAAGGTAATGAACAGTCAGTGCTGTTTCTGGCAGGGGACTTCTTCCAATGAAAACCCCCACATGGGCTGTCTCCCCTCATTTCGTTTTTCTGAAGGGGCAGAGGCCTCTTTTAGAACATAATAAAATGCAATGTGTGTGATTCCAATGAAACCCCCACATGGGCTGTCTCCCCTCATTTCGTTTTTCTGAAGGGGCAGAGGCCTCTTTTAGAAAATAATAAAATGCAATGTGTGTGATTTACTTTTCTGATCTCTTTGAGAACTAGAAAACTATCTTATACAAGTGTGTTCTTAACGCCAGAACCACTCTTTTTGCATAAATACCTCATCAGGCAGCTTTCTAAGTGTTATTTTCCTGAGCCTCCCTTGGCACCTTTGTTGGAATCTTCTGGAAGACTTGTTGGGGAAACTTTAGTAAGGGTACTCTTTTCTATTTTCCTTCTGTTTTGGGAGGCATACACATTATGCATCACCAAAACAATGGCTCAATTGTGTTTAACTCTGTATTTTGACTGTTGAGGCAAAAACCAAGTATCAATGTGTATGTGGCTATTTGTAGCAAAGTCTGCAGAATGAGGCTGTCTGCGTCCTTAACAAGCCAGGGGGCAGGAGGCACCCCCTCTTTCCCCTCCTCTAAGAGCGGTAGAGAATTTAAGCACAAGCCTATTTGTGAAAGAATATTTTGCTTAAGTGTAATTCACTTTAGTCTCAGAATTCCTTCCCAAATGTCAGGTGTTCTCTTGGCTTCCAAACTAGCCTGTGTATCCATTAGTCTAACAGATTCACCTGAGCATCATTATGGGATGTGGTGTTTTTGCTTTCATTTCTCCTGCAGGGAGAAGTGGTGGTTCATGTGTCATTCCAGTATCTCACATACTCACATGGGGCAGGGGGGAGGGGGAACGGGGAACTACAGCAATATTTACAGATGCTTTGAAAACAACCGCGAACATGTAGCACCGTGACACCTACTTGCTGTTGGGCCCTTGGACATATTTAAGAGAAAGAGACTGTTGCTCTTTTTTTCTTAGATGAAATACACATAGACAATTATTTTTACCCTACTATAATTGTCTTTTCTCTTTATCTAGTGCTGTGTGGAAAGGGTTTGCATCATAGATTTTTTTTTTCCCCAGCCTTATAATAATACCACAAGCTCCTACTTCCCTCTCCCTCTCCTGTCCATGTACTTTCAAGAGTTTTTTTGGTATAGCCATCTATCTAAAACTAGAACTGAACCAAACCCACATGTGGATGGTGGCGTGAGGGAATGTGGCCAGAACAGCCTTGGCAGGTTTCTATCTCAGGGCTGAGTTTTTAAGAAGGAATGGGTCAGAGCCCTTTCCCAAGAATAGATTTTTCTTATAGAGTCCTCCAGCATATCTAGTGCTTGCCATAGCTGTCCCTACCACAGGGTATTCTGGAAGAGGTATTGCATTGAACAGTGCCCAGGCAAGGGTGGTTGGCTCTGACCCCCAGCCGTGAGCACGAAACAGCAGACCCTGGCTGGGAGCTGATTGGGCTTTTATTGGTGCTGCCCTGGGGCCTCCAGCCTGTCCTTAGGGGCTTTTAACCTGAAGTTGGAGTTAGGGACAGGTGACCTTCATGGGAGGGTTTCCTGTATGGGATTAGATTCAATTCAATGTGATTTCACTTTCCATTTCAAACTTTATTCAGGTTGGGACTCATTTCTTTCTGGTGGATCACAGCTGCCCAGATGTTGCAATTTATATCTGTTTCTGTAAGAGAAGTATTTTCCTTTTATTTTATTTTATTTTTTGCCACCAAAAGAAAACATTGGAACTCTATGTCCCCTCTTGATTGTGACTTACCAGTGTTGACAGTTAAGTCCTCC